GATGCTGAAAAGGTAATGGCTTGTTTGGAGCGAGCTAATCAGAAGCTGGTGACATTTGTGAAGCTGCTTGTAGACGAGAAAACCGAATTCGAGACTGTAAAGGAAGAGTTCAAGATAGTGATCAACGAAACCCAAGTAGAGGCAAGAAGGCCCTTCTGCAACTGCTTGATAGACATATGCAGAGGCAAGAAGCGGCACGAGAGAGCTCATGAGCTTCTTTATTTAGGAACACTTTTTGGTCTATACCCGGGATTACACAACAAGACCGTAAAAGAATGGAGCCTAGACGTGAGGTCATTATCTGTTGGTGCAGCTGAGACCGCTCTTGAAGAGTGGATGAGAACACTTGCCAACATTGTTAGACGCCAAGAGGATCTTCCCGAGCTATTCTTGGCGCAAACTGGGACAGGAACTCACAGATTCTCACAGGGACTAGCAAACTCTTTTGCCTCCCATTTGCAACAACTTGCTGCACCTTTCAGACAGAGCGATAGGGCGGGAATTTTTGTGGCTACAAAGGAGGATCTGGTGTTATGGTTGGAATCAAAGTTCCACCTTTAGTTGCTTCTCAAGCATGATACGTTATATGTTATCCCAAACTAAAGAGCAACATTATTTTCCCAGTAAAGTTGTTTATAACTGTAATAGCATATCGGATCTTCTGATAAAGTTTCAATATTTTTGTATCATCATCACAAGGAAGAAGGAATCAAATTAGTTATCTGCAGTCTTGTTCTCTCTTTTCCTCAAATGGTTTGAACTTTCCTCAAAGTTTCATGCAAAAAGCTCTCATTTAACAAATGTAAACAACACCTTCCATCTCTCTTACATGCAGACACACCTTTCAGTTACTGTTTGCAAAAACCCATAAATATTTGGGACTTGTTAGCTTAGCAGCGCCAGCTATTCTGCCGCTTGGCATCATATGCTGCGCCATCGTTAAGCATATCTTGAGCATCAGTCTCCATTCCGAGCTTCGAGAGTGCTAAAGCCTGTAAATAAAAAGCTGTGGGCCATTCCGGTATGCACACCTGAGCCTGCATTGCATCTCTCAGTGCAAGTTCCTGTTGGTCTGTCATTAAGTAGGAGAAAGCCCGTCTAGCAAAAACTGTTGCAGAAGGAACCGGCATCATCCCCACCAACTAGAAACAACAAATACAAAAGTTGAGATTCTTGTTGACCACGAAGAATTATGAATTTGTTGCTTTTTTTTTTCTCACCTTTGAGTAGTATTCAATTGAGTTCTTGAAATCCTTGTCTCGGAAAGCAATGTCCCCGAACTTTTTCGTGTTGAGCATTTCCTGCACTTGCTGTGTCCATTCTTGAAATGAAAGCTCATTCTCTGCACCTTCCTCGTCTCTGTAACCAGTTTTAAGCAAAATGTCGTGTACTGTCGCCAGGTCCATCTTTGAACAGGCCTTTCCAAGAGGAGAAAGCATAGTTGGTAATATTACTGTGTTCTTTGGCAAGCCCATCAAGACATGAGATGCAACCTAAGCAACAAAAGTGAAACCAACATAAACAATTTGGATATGAGATTCAAGATATTGTCAATTTCAGGATAAATTCTTTAATACCTCATCTTTCTTTTGTAGTGGTGCCACTGCAGAGAGAAGAAAAGTTGTGTCAGGTCGATCCTTTGCCTCCGATTGAAGGCATTTTGAAGCAAGCTCAACTAATTTAGTCGCATCATCACTCGCATATTGCCCTTCGAGAGATGAATCCATCAATAGCAACGCGTTCTTCCCCCTTATAATATCGAGAGCCTGAATATGAACATCATCAACTAATTCAGATAAGATAACCATAGGGAAAGTGCTCATTAAATTGACAAAAAAAACTGCGTATAAGAGTAAGGAAGCTATGATTGGAGGCACATACATGGGTAGGTGGAATGTGTTTGCCGCTTAAAAGATCTAAAAGAATAGTTCCATAACTGAAGATCACACTTTCAGGAATGACTCTGCCTGCAAAAAAAGCAGAAACCTTTTTACTCTTCAAATAAAGAATTGGTTTATCTTGGAGTAGTATACACAAAGATCAAAATGTTACCTGTCCGTAAAAACTCAGGAGGCGTATAAGCTAAGTTGGTACTATAGCTTTTTCCATCTCTACTGTTCTTCATAAGACCAAACGTCGATAGACGAGGATCACCTTCATCGTCGAAAAGGATTCTGTATGCATTGAGGTCATGGTAGATCTTTCGGTTTTCATTGTTGCAGTAATCAAGTGCCTGTGCAATATAGTCTGCTATTCGAACACGCATTTCCCATGGAAGTGGCTGCTTTTCCCCTGCAAACAAGCACAGAAAGAAGAGAGTAAAGCATCTAAAGAAAATTATAAAGGGAGATTATAACCAAAAAGAAAGTTAAGACTATTACAGTGAAAGAGATGCTTTGAGAGAGTATCATTAGGCATATACTCTGCTACCAACAATCTCTCGTCTCCTTCAGCGCAACAACCAATCAAACTGACTAATCTCTTGTTTCTAAGCTTCCCAACACCAGTTGCTTCCACCTGATTTCACAAGAAAATCAAGGTCAACACAAGAACAGTATTCCCAATTTAGCTAAAGTAAGCTACCTGCAACAATTCTATGCTAAATTCACTAAGAAAAAAGAGAAGTAAGAAACAAAAGAGTACTCCAATATAATTCCTGTCAGTAGAGCAAAGTCGGATACTAGGATATAGAGTGTCCAACAAAAGAGTATAGAAAAGTCGGATCCGAGTATATAAAAGCAGCTTTACAACCAAAGTGTTCAACTTTTCTCAGACTTCAACAAAGACACAGGTAATCATATTCTCTTATAAAAAAATGATGTCTTTATCCCTTTCTGTAACTAATAACCATTACTTTCACTAATTATTGATGAGCTTTGCCTCAAGAATTAGTCTATAAAATTCTAGATTAAGGGTTAATGAATCGATGAACAAGTTACCAAACAAAAAATTCAGCATCGACCTTTTTTCAGATTTCTTACCACAAATTGGTGAGCATCAGGCCAAGACTGCCTAGAGAATCGCTTGATGGCTACGAGGTGATTGCCTTCGAGCTTCCCTCTGTAAACCACATTGGGAGCTTTCTCTCCACCTTCAGAGACAATGCAGATAGGGCTAAACCCATTGGTAGCTTTCCTCAGCTCATTTAGCTCAAATTCTCTGAAATTTTGGTTCTCCTGATCCACTTGGTCCCCATTTACTGTTAACACAACACATAGCCGAAAAAGGCAATTAATTAACCTTAACATGAATTTAAATCCAAAAAGGTAGAAACTTTCCAACTTTGTGTCTACTTTCAAGCCTTAAAAACCCCTAACACACACAAATTTTGAAGCAAACCCCATAAATAGAACAGACGGAAGTAAGCATAAACACGAACCAAATCTGCAGATTTAGTAGCGAGCGAAGAAAATGTGAGTTCTTAGGGATGATTACCTGATTCTGGTTTGTTTGGAACTGATGGATCATCAGAAGAAGGTAGATTAGCAGTTTTGGAATGTAAGCAACCCATTTTCTCTCTTTCTTTAGCTTGATCTCACATAAAAAAATTGAACAATTTATTTCCCACAAATATGAGAAACAGAAACTGAAAGATAAATGCTTAAGTTGAGAGGGATTTTCTGTCTTGTTTCTTGGATTGAGGTAAGAACAATGGTGGTAGGATTTGATTTGGGTATGGATTTGTGCTTTGTAAGCAGTTGAGGAGGCAGTAGAATATAAATTTCCCCGCACATTAAAAGAAAATAATAAATTTGAAAAATTAAAGGGAAAAATGAACTTGCTAGAGAGAGGAGAGAGAGAAAGATCTGAAAGTTGGCTTCAAAAGCTGCAGAGTTGAAAAAATAGAGGTAAACAAAATAAGTCATGTGAATTATGTAGGAAAGATAAGTTTTTCTGCTCTATAAGATTTTGCTTGAGTTGCTTTTTTCCTCGGTTCTATAACAAAGTTCAAAATTTGGGTTTCAGTTTTTTGTTTGATGTGAATTAATATATATAAGTACAAAAAAACATATGAGTTATTCGAGTTATCCTGAAAAACCAGTTTTAGTTGGGATCAAATTTAGGATTTTATAATTTTATTTAGTAGAAACTAACACAAACGATTACATTATATTTTTAGCTCTGTTCTGTTTTCTGCCTAACTATGTAGAAAATTCTATTAATTTGATTGATTTCTATTGATCCATGAGATAAAAAAATTGTCAGGACGATTTGGTTTCTGTCACTCTTGTTTATTTTTTTGTTTTTTGTTTTTTAAAAAAATATTGCGTTTTTGCTTGCTTACTTTTGCTAATTGTTTTGTTTATTGGAGAAAGAGAATAGGTCACAATGTCACATCACATGACATGTCTATCATTAGGCACGTGCCACTAGCTTCTTGGGTCCTGAAATTTACCGAAGATGGAAAGTAACTATTTCACTCTTTTTTTTTCGAGTTTATTGTATTTCTTGATTCACTTTTTTTTTTTTTAATATTGTAGAAGTGTACTGTCAAGTGACAACATAATCGGTATTTAATACAGTATATTACTACAATTTGAAATTTTCCAAATATACAAGTACCGTTATAACATGATTCTTTTCACACGGAAAGTCTTCGGTATCAATCAAAGTACTCTTACATAACCTATTCACCGACATATTAGTAACGATATTTTGTTTTCTAACAAATAGGGGACTTCTATTATAATAAACAGATCTTTAAATAATACCTTTTTTTGACCAATATCTTTAAATAATACTTGAATCTTATATGTCTTAATCTTTATGTCCTGAATAAGCTATTACTCTAACGTGGACCATAACCAAAAAGAATCTTGGACCGAATCAATAATCATACACTATTCATAAGAGTTACTCCAAGAAAAAAGACAAAAACAAAAACAATGCAAACAATTTTGGCTCTTATTAATCTGGATTTTAAATACCCTTCTAAATAGAAGTATATAACCATTAACCAAACTACTCCGTTTTGTACAAAATGGTAACGAAAAAAATAATTTGGTTATACGTCGAAGGATTTTTTATCATTCTTCTAAAATTAGAAAGTTCAACATCGTATTAGTAGTATTATTAATAATTTAGTAGTTGTACACAATTACATACATTATCCTCGAGCCTGACTATTATACTGGATTCAATGCATATACATCAACTAATTATTTTTGTAACAATTTAACTAGATTCAATTAGCTCAACTTGATCCCCTTGTTTCCTTGAAAATACAATACTGATTCCTTCCAAATTTCTTACTTCCAAATGTTATGTCTTCACCTATAAATCACCTGATCAATTACAAAAAAAAAAGATAAAATTTAAGGTCGAAACTGTATAAGCTTAAAACTCTAGGCTATAATCAATAATTTACAATAGTTACGGGTTAAGAGAGAAGTGAAATAGCCCATGATCGAGCCATCTAGGGGATTTAGTTAAACCTTTCAAAACTTTAGTGGTTAAATCCAGTAAATATCTAAAAAATACGGGAAAATGCAAAATCCATGTTACCTGCGTTTCTTTAATTCTTCTTACTCGTTACTAGACGGCGAAGTACTGTTTCCTCCGCCTCCGTCGTCTCCCCCGGCGACCCAATACCGCTTAACGGCGACGAGGATTTTCTCCGGCACAAGTGGACCATCCTCGTGATCCATCAGTTTAGTGTCCCATCTCATTCCGTTTGTAATCTTTCTTACATCGTTTAAAACATCAACCTCGTCTCTGAAAATAACCGTTCCTTCCGGTCTCAAAATCCGATCCATTTCAAGGAGAATGTCTTCAATTTTGCAGCTGCATTATGAAATTTTTGCTAATTATATGTAAGATTCACAGAAAGTTCGTAGCTTTTTAGCCTTTACGTGAACTTTTGAGGTAAATGTTAGTGTATTAATCTTGGTTGATCCGGACTTGTTCAAAATAAGAAAAAGGGTGAATTCTTGACGGTGCTAAGAAGATAAATGTGTAATCTTTTGGATATAGACAGTTCTCAGATCTAACCTGTGTTGATACAAGCTGAAGACATTGTTTGCGTGGATGAGATCATATGTTCTCGGATAAGTCGAAAAGCCTTCACACCTGCAGATTTTTAAAAACGAAACATATCAGATTCGGTGTTGAATGTTTGTCCATAGAAGAAAACACTCTGAGTTTTTTGTTTGCATTTACCAGTCATGGTAGATGCCGATAAGACCTCGCTCGAATACAACACTTAAAGTGTTGTTTGCTATGGTTGGAACAACATTCATAACCCAACATTTAGACGATTCAAGTGCAGCCGCAAATCCACCAAGTCCAGCATTCATATCCATCACATTACGGTATCTCGTGCTACCTATCAGCCTATTGATTCTCTTGTAGTTACTCACTCGCTTCTTCCATAGTTTGTTATCTTCTTGGTATGATTCAGCGTTCACACCATCGACCAAACCTCTGGTTATGCATGGAGGCACTGAAAACAGCCTCTCCGGAAACTTCTTCAGCTTTCCTCCCGCGACTTCTTCTTCTTCTTCGTTTGATACTTTAGGGAATGGAGTCACGCATACTTCCATTTCCTTATACCAGACATCATCATTGTCTTTTCCTTTGCAAGTTTGGACAGATGATGATGACCTGTCGCATGATATGTCGTTTGTTTTCTTTCTCCAGATTGCAATGTCTCCTTTCTCATACTTCTTCTCCCAGCATAAGGACTCTGCGATTTCCTCTATCTTCTTCTGCTCAGCATTGAGTTCTTTCTTAGACCGTTTCCATGTCTTGTAGTTCGTTTTCCAGTTGATTGGAGGTCCGGATAAGACCCAGTAACCACCCGGTCTCAGGACTCTATCGACTTCCATCAAGTACATTCCCTCTGTACAAAAACGCAATCAATACAGTGAGCGATGTGCCATTTAACTGTTTCAAGAGTATATCAATGGAGCAAATGTATCACCATTTGAGGTCCACGGTATCAAACACCGAGAGCAATGAGCCATATCAAAGGCTCTTGGTGGGTATGGAAGACGAATTGACCCGAGTACACCGATGATTGCTGGAACGCCTCTCTCTAGCGCAAACTGTACTTGAGCTTCGTGGTTATCTCGTGGCGCAAATGACATAGTCAATACGTTCTTCTTAAGCATATACGCACCCCAGCTTGCAACCTAAGGCAAAGAAAGACTAAGCTCTACATAATGAATTAGAGAGATTGTAAATGAACCAACTTACTCCACATCCAGTGTCCAATGCGGTTCTAACTGATCCATCTTTGATTGGGATTACGCTAGCTAGCTCTTTGATATAAGCATCGGCACCTTGAGGAAACATAGTTCCTCCTCCAGGGAATTTAAACACATTCCCTTGAAACTTGACCCAGTTTTGTCCAGCTTTCTCAACCGTCAAGGTCTTGAAAGGAACATTCGCATAGTGAACGTAGTCACGGCTTTTAGGCCAAGGGAAAGGAGTCATATACCCTTTAGGAGCCGGAATTAAACACCGTAACTTCTCGTTCTCCGGTGGGCAATGTCTCTCTCTGTAGATCATGTTTTCCCTTGGGAATCTCATTGCTCGTTTTTGTTCTTGACAAGGTGTGTAATCTTTGTATTTCACGTCACAGGGTTTGTACACGACAGGTTTCGGGTTAGCTCTTTGAGGTATCTCCACCGTTTTATGGTGAGGCTCAAAGTCGAGATCGGTTATGATGTCTGTAGTACATTGTGCTTGCTTTGTAACTTCTATTGCTATACCGTCTCCTTTACCAAACCCACTCTTTTGCCATGCTCCAAGAAGATAGAAGAAACAACATAAACCAATCACAATGATTAGAGGATAGTGAAGTTCTTGTCCGGATTAATTCCGCTGGTGGAATTATTCTTAGAACTCATCATGACTTCAGAATCTCCTGAAACATTGAAGAAAATCACAAACTAAAAGATCAATCACTTAGGTATTTAAATAGTAACATAATATATCCTTAACGTAAAGATCTCGAAACAGAGTAGCTAACACAAAAAGCTTCATAAATGGTAAACATTTACATGATTTAACTCAAAAATTTCACTGGAGAAACTAATTATGAAGAAAAGGATGATAAAAGTACTGATTTTTTTAACAGCAAAAATCGAAAATTCAGTGTAGCTAATTGTATAGAAGATATCGTCATACAACGAACAAGAAGATTTCAACTTTAGCATTGCACTAGGAAACCCAAATGAAATCGAAATCGAATTGGAAAAACCCAGAAGGGTTATTGTCATATTGCTTGAACAAATCACTTTGAGAGCTTAAAAAACAATCAAGAAAGAGAGAATTTTTTTTACCTGTTCAATGTAGTGAGGGATTCTTTTGATTGTTTCTCTATAGATCTCTCTGGTTTAGCTCTTTTCAGTGATAAGCTGTCGACGAACGAAAGCTTTCACATTGACAGACGAAAGACTCGCTAAAATAACGTCTCCAATTAATAAAATCAGATTTTTTGAAACACATGTCAATTTGAGTATTTTTGTTTCCAGCAAGAGTTCGACTTGGTAGAAAAACTAAACTTCAATCTTTTCCCATGATAAAAACAAACGATAATAGGTCACTGTAAACTTCAGTAAATTTGGGTGAAAAACTTTAGAGAAAAAGATTGAAAATTCAGTAATTCTCAACAAGACCCATTTAGTTTGAAAATTTATTGTAATTTTGGGATTTAATAATCAATAATATGATTTAAACAAAAAAAAAATCAATAATGTGAAGGTGGAATTTTGGGTATGAAGTCGCATGCCATCTCCTTATCCGTACCAATCCTTTGACCGAATGCAAATACAATTCGAATTACATCATCTTCTTAATCCAAACAAGGTCCTCACGTAATTGTTTCTACAAAATCTAAGTCACTACTCTTCTTCATCTATTACAACTTCAATCATCATCATGAACAAAAACCAACAAAAACAAAAACAAAATCGACAATGTTTCCCTAAGTTCTTGGATCTTATAACATTACCTGAAGAACCCCAACAAGCTTCTATATTGCTCTGTTGTAAATGTACTAAGAGCTTGTCTCTGCAATTCTTCTGTTGTAATTATCTTGCAAGATTGTGTTTGAGTGATTCATTTGTCTAACTCTTTTCTGCGTCTCTCGCCGTTTCTTTAACTTGGATAAGCTAAGAGAACCTTCAACTGAATCATTGATGAGCAAAAAACTTTCAATGAATGTAAACAGAAATCGAAGAGTGAAAAGAGGGTAAAGAACCATTTCGACTTTTCATACCTTGCCATTCCCATACAACCTTTTGTTCACCCTTTACAATTTTCGGATATCTATCTATACGTGAATCCTCTTGTACTAACTCCTCAACCTAATAAATAAACCAGGAATATAAAGAACCATCTCAGGATCCAACATTAGAGGAAATCATACACAGATCAAGACAAAAAAACAGGTACCTTACTCCATAACAGAGGATCTCTTCTTTCTCTAGGAAAAAGGAGATGATCACGCAACCGTGATGCGATAACCCAAGGCTCGCAGTTACTACTACTGTTTGCAGAATTTGATGTCACTGCGTTCTCTTCCAAAAAGTCACAGACCTAATGAATCAATTCAAAACAAACGCCCGTTTCGTACTTAGACACAAAGACAAAGCATAATCGATTAGTCGAGATGATGGATGAGTAAAAGGTGTACCTGGTCGTATAGTTCTTCAACTCTACTTGAAAAATGTCGCTTCCGCTGAATTTTCCTATGCAATATTGCGCAGCCCACAAGCTGTACATCTCAACACTGTAAACAAGCTTGAACATTTCGATTAAGTAAACTATAAACCACTTAATGACTGGCTTTTTTTGCTTTCTAAGAGTACAATACCATTGCACATGAGGACGAGATTATGAAGATGTGCTGCAAGAGCCATTGATGTATGCGACAAGTCACGGGTTTGTAACTTTCCATTAGCGATTCAGGGCACTTTAACTCATTGTTCCTTCACATAAATAAAAGACAAAGTAAGAATCTTTAGCGATGAAACATCTTCAAGAGTTATTCTCCTAACCAGTGATGAAAATACCAACCCATTAGCATTAGTCCTTTTCTCTAGCAGCTCTGCGACAGCTTCTACAGCTTTGGCTTTCACAAAATTGTAAGCAGGCTCGTCTAGATTATCCAAGAAACCGTTGCTACGTAAATCTTCCCAAACATCATTCTCTGGAACCTAAAAGATCGATGAAAATTTCTCAATGTAATGCTCACTATTACCAAAAAACACTATAGTTAAAGATGAATCATCATACCCAAATTTCTTCAGTACCATAGCATTCATTATGAGCATATGCTTCACAAACTTTTCTCTCGAAATGCCCAACCTGATCAACAACACAACCAAGTTGCAAAATGTTTAAAACAAATAATCAACAACACGATTATCTAAGTAGTAGTACGATTCATTACCAATTTCTTTGTTGATTCATTGATCTCTCCATCTTCTATGCATAAATTCCCTTGCTTTCTGTATCCATTATTACATTTCAACTCTCCTTGGTAACATTCCCCATTAATTGGACATGGTTCACATAAATCTGTAGCAACGATATTGAGTTGTGAAAGCGGTCCACACTGGTTAATCCACGGAATTTACAAAATTCAACCATGAAAAAAAGCAATTATTTATGAATCTCGAGCTTACCTAAATCCGATTCGATGGAATCTAAGTTACTGTCGCAGAAAGATTTAGTGTCTGAGCCCAGATAATTGGCGAGGAAACTGCAGCCAAAAGCCACAACACACGCGACAAGCAACACCGTCAGGAGTCTCGCGAACTCTTCCTTGGAAGGGAAGAAGCTTTCCGATGGCTCGAGTAATGATCTGATCGGAGAAGGTGAAGATTTAGGGTTCCGTTTTGGGGTTTTGGTCTCCGATTTGGGTCGCTTCCTTGGTATCGAATCCATCTGTGGACTTCCGACCAAATAAGAGCAATAAATGGAAATTGAAAAACATAATCATTGATAAATGATAACAAAAAGAAGAAAAAGTAAAATAATGGAAAAAAATGAGGCTTAATTAATGGGCTTTCTGTTGACCCACTCGGAGCCCAAATATAAATTCAAAGTCCAGGTTATTTCCAAGATGATTAACGAGAAACAAAAAAGCTTAATTTTGTTTTGCACATAAGCATATTATTTTTCTTTGTATAAAAAATACAGAACATAACTTATTTTGACCAAACATAATGCAGAACATCATTTATTACAAAAGGAAATTTTCTTTCTCAAGTTAACTTTGAGAAAATTTTAAGCAAAGTGTTTCCTAATAGTAAGAGGATTAAGGCGTGTGTTTAGTTAATTAAGAAAAGGGAAAAAACCTTAAAAATACCTCACTTTATAAACATTTGCTAGAAAAATACCCAGACTATTAACGCTATCTGAAAAACACCTAACATTGTTTTGGCTACCTATTTAATACCCGAACATTCAAAAACCGTAAGTTTGACTCCCCATTTTTAACTTCGTTTAGCCGTTAAACGGAAACTCTAATACGGTGTTAATTCCCTGTCAAAAACCTTAACAACACGTGTTTAATTAGCGATGAAAAGACATTAAGTAACCCTGGTTGAGAAATAAGTTGTCTTCTTCTTCCCCAAATCGATTAAAACTGTAAACCCTCAGAAATCTCTTCCTCTCTCTCGATTTCTTCAGCCAAAATGGAAAATTCATCCTCATCGGCGACCTCATTCAACGCGAGCTATAACCAGCTGGACGTTCCTCTTTGCCACTGCAGAAAGCCGACGAGAATGGCCCAGTCATGGACAGATGATAACCCTGGAAGGGTGTTCTTCAAATGTGACACACATGGGTTTTCAGTGTGGGCGGACAAAGAAAAACCGTTTGGTTGGCAGAAGCTTCGTTTGATTGAAGCAAGAGAGCAGATACGGCGTCAGAAAGAGGAAATCCGAGCGCTTAAAACATCTCTTCGAGAAACCCATGTAAGCTTATCTTCGAACTCACCAAATGTTGATGCTGAAATGTTTGCAGAGGAGAAGAAGAAGCTTGAATTTGAAGCAATGGCAGCAAAAGAAAGAGAAAAGCTCCTGCGCCAATTTGTGGTTATTTCATGGGGAGGATTCATTGTTGTCACAGCAATGATACTCACCATGGTGAAGAAGTAGCTTTGATGTAGCTTTGGTTTAGTTTTTTCTGATGTTCTTATTGTTCTTTGATCTATCCGATGTTCTTAGTTTGTGTTTTGTTGTTCAAGGATTTGTGTTGTTGTTTTCATTGTTCTTTTGGTGTAATGTTGTTTTTTTCAATATGAGTGGTACTTGTAGCTTAATCGAATGACAAGAAAAGTAATACCAATGACAAGATCAAACTTGTAGCATAATCGAATTCTTTACATAATGTAGCAAACAACAACTGAAGACACCAAAAGCATCAAACTTGTAGCATAATCATACACTAAAAGCATCAAACTAAAGACCCCAAAAGGAAGACCAATCCTAAACCCAAAGATCCAAAGTAACGAGACAACATTGTCAAGCTACAACCAAAAACATCAAAAGCTAAAACCAACAAGCAATTTCTAAGGAGAGGGTTGTCGATAAGGACCCATCACCTCCGTAGCATTGGATCCCCATACATCAAAGACTCGACCAGTGAAAGGGGAGATGTAGCAACCATAACCTCTAGGAACCAGAAGCTCACGGACACGACCACGGCCACGTCCATGGCCACGTCCACGGCCACGTCCACGGCCACGGCCACGTCCAGTTGATGCACTTGGTGCGCTTGAAGGATGTGGATCAACTGATTCTTGTGTAGAAGTTGATGGTGGCTGCGGCTGTGTAGAACTCTGACCACTCTTCCTCCTTTTTGGAGCATTTTCAATGCTCCATTGATTATCCTCCTAGTACATGATCATAACAGAAGAGATTTACTATAGAACATTAAACAAAAAAGTCAAAGTAGACATAACCAAGCTTGATACGTACCTGTGTCTTTCTAGGCCTTCCTCTTTTTCGTTTAGGACCTTCAATGAAAGTAGCATTTTTACAAGTGCCTATGTTATGACCAGTTTGCTTACAGTTGCTACATGTTATAACTCTTCCTCCTCGTGTGACCTTTGTCGGATTTGATGCTGATTCATGAGGCTCTTTTATCCTGTTGTACTTCCTCGGACGGCCTGGCATTCTCCTTTTTTCAGGAACTTGAATAGGATCTTTGCCTGTCTTGAACCAGAATCGCTCACCATTCACCGGCTTAGTGTTGTCTTTATATGTGTCCTGCCACTTTGTTGTCAAGTAGTACTCATCGACATAACTACAACACAAATAAAAAGAGAGTTACATCACACATATCTAACAAAATGGTAAACAGTTAATCAAATTTTATAACTTACTCTTCAGGGTCGCGGTTTAGCTCAGATATGACATGAATAGCATGGCTGCAAGGAATTTCAGTGATATTCCACTTGTTACAAGCACAATGCTTGTACAGAAGATTCACCTCATAGCTGCAATCATATTGAACAACCTCATACAAGTTCTCACTGCTAAGAATAACTGAATACGTCTCGCTCTCAACTCGATTTTCCTCAAAGAGCTCCATTATGTTAGGTGGAAACCTGCTTTCACATTTTCCTGTCATTTCCTTCCTCCGAGATACACGCTTCATAGAAAGCCTTCTAATCTTTTCAAGCATATTAATCAAAGGCAATTTGCGAGCATCTTTGATGGTTCTGTTGAAACTTTCTGACAGATTGTTGCAGACATCATCACATCTAGACTGTGTACTGAAAAAAGCCTTGCACCAAGTCTTTGATCCGTTTTTAGTAGGTCTTTACATGCCACAAGATCAAACTTTTCCAAAGCTTCCTTGTTAAACTCAAAATCCCCATGCGATGTGCTCTTTGCAATCGCCCAGAAGTAGCTTTCATACTCTTCCATACTATAGACCTTTCTCCAGTTGGCAAAAATGTGTCTAGCACAATGCCTATGCTCCGCTTGTGGCAGGAGATCCGCAATCGCATTGACCAAGCCTTTTTGTTTGTCAGATATGATACTATACCCACTACCTGTCCCTAAATCCAGTTCTGACTGCAGTTTACCAACAAACCAAGCCCATGACTCATTATCCTCAACCCTAACAATTGCCCAAGCAAACGGAAATATCCTATTATCTGCATTTCGGCCAACAGCAGCTAGAATCTCACCTTTGAGCTCCCATTTCATGAAAGCCCCATCAAGACCAATAATTGGTCGACAATTACGCTTCCAACTATCCCTAAGCACGTCAAAACTGATATAAAATCTGTCAAACACCAACTTACCATCAGGCCGAGGGAGTGTCACAATCTCGGTTGAAACATCATTAGACCGCCGTAACTCATACTCATAATCCCACAGCTTAGCAAACTGTTCCTTCTGTGTTTCAATGACCATATCAAGAGCTAGTCTTCTAGCCTTAGTGCATATCCACTTGGAGACAGAGAGATTGTACCTCATCATGATCTCATCCTTGATGTCAGTCCACTTTATACCTGGCCTCCGTCTTGCTTCATCTTTAAACAACATAGCAATTGTACCCTGTTTAAGCATTCTTGCTTTGCTACTCTTCATGTGGTTATGCTTATCCACATATGTTTTAACCATCCACAATCCTATTCTTTTCTCTACCGAGCAGTAAATCCTCCACTTACAACCCTTTTTTGCACAAATTGCTGCATACTTGTTTTTATCCCACTTGTTTTGATAAACATCATAGTTGGTCTTCAGAACATACCTCAGTAGCTGCTCTTTAAACTCTGCGCCAGACTTGAATGTCTGCATCAACCACAAGTATGGAGGCAACTCCTTGCTGTAGTTTTTTCTTGAAGTCTTTCTCTCCACTCTGTGAAATTATCCCATTCCTCATCTGTGTCCTCAGCAGATCAGGATTTCTGGATCCTACATTG